AAAAAAAAATTATAATCCAATTATCTAATGATGATATCCCTTTCAAAATGTATAGAACCAAAAACTGGACTAGAGTTATTTTGATCGCTTGACACTGATGAACCAATAACCACATTTAATACTCATAAATACTATGTATAAAATATGAAGAAAAGTCAAGAAATGGAATAGAAATGTGACTCACAAAGTGGGAAGAAATAATCCGAGGAAATAGAGAAGCTACAAGCATGCCATGAACAAGTCGATCCTCGAATCCAGCATTTCGAGCAGATTCCTTGTCAAAGTGCAGAGGATTCACATCACAAGTCACTTTAGAATATTGACAGACATCTTCGTTTGAGAATATCCTTGTTTGCCTTAAAATGTCTCCAATTTTGAGCATGTTTGGTACTGATGATGAAAAGCATCGTAAAGGTAGGACGTTTCTAAAGAATAAAGGCTTCACTAACATCCTCATAATGATCTGTAGAGAACAAGAAGTTGTTAAGCATTTGCTAATATATAATGGCCGTTACAGTTTATAGCCACAAGATATTCAGCTCATCAACTTGTGAACTATGTCAAGACGCTCTTGGAAAATGATTCAACTTGAGCATTTAATACAGGCTGCTACAGCTCCAAGATCATGCCTAGTGCCAAAATCTAGAAATTTCTCAAGTTTCGCATAGAGTTTTTGCAGTCATTTCGTCGAACACCTTATGTGCTATAAAAGTGAGAGGAAACAGAGCGGAAGGATAATAATTGGATAAAGCAACACACCTGGCTGCAACGGTGCGGAAAAGCAGAGATTTCAAGTTTTCAAGTTGTCTAGAAGGTTTCGGCTCTAGACAGTACTGGTGATATTCAAGGATTCTGCAAGCGCGGCGCACGAGCCACTAGTCGTTGCGTCATCACTTTTCACCAAAAGTATCTGCCCTTCTTAACTCATTCCAGGAGATCACTCAAACTCATATGGAGACGTCTAAAACGGATTAAATTCCGCCGTGAAGAAACTGAAAATATTTGGAATTGAAGGAGAAAAAATAATGTAAATTAACTGCTTTGCTTTGATATTTGTTTGTGATTTGTGTCCAAGTGTCTTCTAAGACTAGTTGTTGGGCTAACGCCCACAAGTAGCAATGGCCCATGGACCTGATAAATTGAGCCCAATTTCCCTAGTCAGTTTTGCAACTTGGAAAAAGGAAACACCAGAATGTCCTACCTTTAAAAATGTCAAGTTACATTATGAATTTGATGAAACAAAGGTTGACACTATATCTCATATATTTAATAGTTCTATTTCTCTTGCTACTTTAGCACACCAAAGGATCATAATAAGTAGACTAGTTGGGCAAAAAGAAGAAATTCACATTTGCATCCATTCATAAACTAACAATTACATCTTCTCAAACCCCACAGAAAGACTACTAAATATCCAAAATTATCAAAAGCTGAGTACACTAGTAACAACGGTAGAAAAACAAGTGCACAAATAAAAAAAAATGAAGCTTTTACTAGCATGGCAACAGCACATAGAAAACGAGAGTTAGGATGTGGGATGCCAATTCCTAAACCAATCTGTCAAAGTCGAAACATTTCTACTGATATCCTCAACATTATCACTCTTTAGTGATATAACAATATTCTCTGGGTAACTTTCTTTAGCCTCCTCAAGCAGAACTTGAAATATTTCACATTCTATGTTGTTTGAAAGCTTGCTTCCTTCATAACCCCTGAAATGAATTAAAACATTAAATTTGTGAGACAATAGAGGAAAACCCATAAAAGTCTTCAAGTCCATTTGCATATCTAGATGGCACATCACCTCTTAGTTAAGCGATCATATAATACAGTGTTGTCGGTCTGAAGAACCACGACGAGGTCGAACCATCTCTCCGGGAAGAAATCACAGCCGTGATAGTCTACGATGTTTCCACCTTCTTCCATCACGTCCTCAATCTCATCACATACCTGAAAGTAAGTAAAAAAATACACCAAAATTTATAAAATTTTCAAAAAATTTAAGTGGAATGATCTAGAAAACGACGATTAATGAGAAAAATTTTAAAAAAAAAAAATCAGAATCAGGCGTTAGGGGTTGAAGGCGATGGAGAAGTTACCAGGTCCTCGTTGATAATGTGGCACTGGAGCTTATCGTCCCAGCCGTCGTGCAAGTTCTTCTCTTTGACCAAATCTCCAATATTCAGGTGGCGGAGCTGAGTGGCCTCCGCCAGTGCAGTGGAAGTCGTCGTTTTGCCGGTTCCAGGCGTGCCCGTCACCAGTATGTTCGGCCTCTGCCTTCTCTTGCCGCTATCTTTCGCCATCGTCTCTCTACCGAATTGAGTTGTAATGAAATTAATTACGGGGGTTTCTCTTTCTTAGGGTTTTGGTTTCGGTGGTCAAATAGGGCCGAAATAGAACGGCGGATCGATCACAGAAAGTCAGGAATTGGTCAAGTACGGCCCAAAGGCAGTTCTGATTTTTTTTGGGCCAGAAAATTGGATTGAAGCCCGATTAATTTTTTTCCTTCTTTTTTAAGGAGCATGAATAAGATACATCAAGTCCACAAGTAATTTTTCTTTTTGTTAATCTCCCAATTTCGTCCCTCAACTATTGTATTTGATTTGATTTTTAAACTAAAAAATCTCTTGTTTGATTGTTATTGTTTATCAGTTTAACCCCAAGTTGATCCTTCCATTAAAAAACAACTAACGTGTCTATTATTTAATAATAAAAAATCATTACTTAACAAATATGTGTCACGTTAATAATGAGACACATCATATATTTTTGTATGAAATTATCAATTTAAGGCCAAATTGGTAAATAGTAATGAGCAAATCAAGAATTTTTTTCAGTTTAAAAATCAAATCGGAATATGTGCAGTAGTTAACAAACCAAATTGGGGGTTTGACTTTTTTTTTTCACCAGAATTTAAAAAAAAAAAAAAAAAAAAAAAAAACTGCTTTGCAGCCTAGATTATACCAAACATAGTCCAGATTCCAAAACAATAGACTCTTTCTTTTTTGAATGAATTGAGTTTGTGAAAATTAAGACAAAGAAGCTATAAAATTGTCTAAGAATATGGTGGGGTTTTGGTATTCCTTAATTTATTTTCATTGGATTGTTTGAGTGAGAGGAGTTAAAGGAAGATGCAATGAAACAATAAACATTTAAAATAGAATAAATAAGAAAAAGATAATGAATTAAGTCTAATTCACTTGTACAACAATGAATAACAATAAATTACAGATTATAATTCATCTAGACAATGATGAATCACAGAGGCTTACAATACATTAGATGCAATGAGCAAAGCTTACAGGATTACTGAAGCATCTTGGAACAGATTTGTCAAATGCTGCAGTTAGATAAATGATGCATAAAGAACTATAAGAAGCATTATAAAAATTTTGCTTCTCCAATGAAGGTAATGGTGTCAAGGTTGTTGTATGTGAAAATAGAAGAGAATAATGTTAATGTCATCACTCAAAGAACTTGGAAAGCCTAACAGGGGTAGATCTTGGAGGAGAACCTGGCATTCTATCAGGTCTTGGAGAAACTGGTGTTCTATCAGGTCTTGGGGAGCCTTGTGATGTATTAGGTTTGGGGTTTCCAGGACAAACAGACTCAAACTGACAATGCTGGCATTTCCAGCGCTCTTCCTCTGGTGTGTAATTGGCTTCTCGCTTTCCTGTCCAGAATTCAAGGGAACTTTGAAGTTGCTTCTTGAGCCAATCAGAATCATATGCAAATTGATATTCTGCAAGCACTGATTGATCCTTTTGTGATTCATACCTGCTTCAGGGGAACCAAATATATATTCATTTCTTGTTGACAAAACGGCAAATTGTTTTAACTTCAGCAACAGAAGATGAGTAAACAGTAATGGAAATCCTAAAGATAATGTTTTGCCCACCTCAATAGCAGCTGGTCCTGAGCAAGGGGGAGCATGCTACATGCTGTCCTATATTGTCTCACCATGTCCTCCAGGGTCTGCAAGGACAAAGGAAGGGGCAAAAAATGAAAACTCTAGCAACACTTCATCTTGGAAGCATTTGAACACTTCAGTTTAAATTTAATTCTCATAGATAATCTATTTACTATTAATTATTTTTTAAAAATAGTATAATAATAACTATAAAGCATTAACAACATGACTATTGTAACTGAATGGAACTGATTAAAAAGGAAAAACAGCATGCTTACCTTTGCAGGAAAACCTGACTTAGTTGTTTCCTCTCTGATTTCTTTGGATAAGAGATTATATTGATTCAATGGAAAGAAATTAAAAAACTGTTCAGCAAAGAAGCCATCAACAACTAAAGTGTCCCACAAGTACTTGTAGCACATTAATTGAAGCCTGAAAGAGTCACAAAACATGAAATCTGGCCCATCTCTTATGAACAAAGCAATAAGGCGTGAAAAAAACAAGAGAATTCAAAATAATAATAACTATAAAGCCTCCAATACTATAGTTATTGGATCATCATCAGCATACCT